AGAGTTGGTTCTTGCACCACGTATCAATTTTCAGTTCATCTTCTCAACCGCAATCGATGGCAAAATAAAGGCCTGGCTCTATGACAATGTGGGTTCTAGAGTTGATTATGATGCTCCTGGTCATTGGTGCACTACGATGCTTTACAGTGCTGACGGGACTAGGTAAGGAGGATGGAATCTCAATCGTTGGTTGCTGTTTTCTTTTGCTCCCTTCTTCTATGTCAGTGGTCATCTTCACGATTGCTGCAAATGTTCTCGTAAAGATATGGCATGATGACTGATACTTGCTGCCAATCTACTCATCACTTATTCCCCATTTTGCAATCAGATTATTTTCCTGTGGAACAAGTAAAGATGGGGAGACTTATCTTGTGGAATGGAATGAAAGTGAGGGTGCTATAAAGAGGTCATATAAAGGATTAAGAAAGAAATCGGTAGGCGGCATCGCACAATTTGATACCACTCGAAACCATTTTTTGGCTGTGGGAGAAGACAACCAAATAAAGTTTTGGGACATGGATAATGATAACGTTCTTACAAGTACAGATGCAGAAGGTGGACTCCCGGTGAGTGTTACATACTCTATGGTTGGTCTTTCGCAGCAAACTTTGCTTTGATGCCAACACTTACATGTTTTCCTTGATGGAGCAGAGTCTTCCTCGGTTGAAGTTTAACAAAGAAGGAAATCTTCTCGCTGTAAATACAGCAGATAATGGATTCAAGATACTTGCAAACACAGTAGGTCTTAGATATCTGAAAGTTAATGAAGCCCCATCCTTTGAAGCGCTAAGAACACCAATAGAGTCTGCAGCCGTGAAGGTTCTGATCGTTTTACTTTGTGCTTTTGTTATTTGATGTACTTGGTTTAGAGATCACTTCTAATGATATTTACGTGATATTTTTCTATTTATGTCATGCAGGTCTCTGGCTCTTCTGCTGTTGCAAATGCCAGTGCAGTAAACTGTAAAGTGGAAAGGAGCTCTCCTGTCAGACCTTCTCCAATTCCTGTATGCCGTTTTACTTTAGCATGATATACTTCTTATCTGTTTCAAAAATGGCGTGGCACTGAGAATCTTCAGGCATGTACAGCTGTGAGATTATTTTCTTATTTCTGATGAGCCGCACTTGGTAGAGCATTGAAAATGTGGTGGCAAACTGTCTTTCAGATCATATGAAATTGGCTAGTTTTATGTCAACAGAAACAAGTCATACTGTTCAAGATTCTCTACTCCTTGAAATCTTTACCTCCATTATGGTATTCTTTGTTTGTTCAATGTGCGGAATAAGAAAGGATGAGGTGATTTTGCATATTATAGCTCTTTTGAGAAATTAACTTATTTTATTCTATTTCTCTGTTCAAGAATGGAGTTGATCGTATGGGTAGAAGCATAGAGAAACCAAGGACAGTTGAGGAGGTGGTTGATAAGGCTAAACCTTGGCAGCTAGCGGAGATTTTGGAACCTGTCCAGTGTCGTTTAGTTATGATGCCTGACAGCACAGATACTTCCAGCAAGGTATGCTCCATCATTGAGCGAAAATAATTCTCTTGCAATGTGTATCCACTTCATGTTTGCCTCATTTAATGTCTAGGTTGTACGACTTCTATATACAAATTCTGGCGTTGGGCTTTTAGCCTTGGGGGCAAATGGTGTCCAGAAATTATGGAAGTGGGCCCGGAATGAGCAAAATCCAAGTGGGAAGGTATTGCCTGATTCCTTTTGGATTAAAGCTTTTGATTTTTTTTTTCAAGAGGAACTACTAAAGTGAACTAGCACAAAAGGCCACCGCCACTGTTGTTCCCCAGCACTGGCAACCGAGCAGTGGTCTTCTTATGACTAATGATGTCTCAGGTGTCAATATAGAAGAAGCAGTACCTTGCATAGCTCTATCAAAAAACGACTCCTATGTAATGTCAGCCTGTGGTGGCAAGATCTCATTATTTAACATGATGACTTTCAAGGTAATTTTTGTCATTCTTGGTTTTAAAACTTCCTCACTGTTTGCTTCCTGAATTTTTTATACATTCTATTTTCTGCAGGTGATGACCACATTCATGTCGCCCCCGCCTGCATCAACTTTTCTTGCGTTCCATCCGCAGGATAACAACATCATTGCTATTGGAATGGAGGATTCTACCATCCATATTTATAATGTTAGAGTAGATGAGGTAGCTGCTGTATGAATTGGCTTTTCTTTTCTGCCGATACCGTGTATTTATCACAAGTAACACGATTTATCTGGCTTTCATAGGTGAAGTCAAAGTTGAAGGGTCACCAGAAGAGAATAACTGGTTTAGCCTTTTCCACCAATCTTAACATCTTGGTTTCATCGGGTGCTGATGCTCAAGTAAGTGAATCGAAGAAGATTTTGTTATCCAGCTTGAGAACTTGCCTCTGGTTTTGGGGTTACTTTCTGAATTTTGCTTCATCTTCTGCTTTATCCAAGTCTCCTTATTGAGCTGAGAAACTGCTATCTTTAGTGTCTTATTATTACTATGAGAAACATTTGCTAATAATAGAGACAATTGGCATGAAACCTGTGATCATACTGAAAGTAGCGGAACTCAAATGTCTCTAGGTCTGTTCATTCTGCCGTATTTTCGAGATGATATAACCTGTCCTTTTTTCTCGAATTCACCTTTCACGTTAAAGCTGGGCAGATTTACTACTAAATTGCCTCTTCAATCCTTCCTCTGCCCACTTTTCCCTATTTTCTGATCTTGGGTTGTTTTTCTGCTTAAAAATTAACAGCTGTTCCTGTGGAGTATTGATACTTGGGAGAAGAGGAAGTCTGTTCTAATTCAAATACCTAGTGGAAAGGCACCCGCTGGCGACACAAGAGTGCAGTTCCACGCTGATCAAATCCGTTTGCTGGTTGTTCACGAGACCCAGTTGGCGATATATGATGCTTCTAAGATGGATCGGATTGAGCAGGTGGGTATATCAGAATTTCCTTATCCACTTTCTATTAACCTACATCTGCTGAGGAAGTTAAACATTTTGTGAAGCTCGAATGAAGCCTGACGTTCTTGTGCATTATTTGTACGACAGTGGATCCCGCAAGAAGCACTTTCTGCGCCTATATCATATGCAGGATACTCTTGCAACAGCCAATTGATTTATGCCAGCTTTCGTGATGGTAATGTTGGTGTGTTCGATGCTGATACTCTTAGATTAAGGTGCCGCATCGCTCCATCAACATACTTGCCCCAGGCAGTCTTAAATGGGTAAGGATGATCTCAAACCTCGAACTTTAGTAGCATTTATTTCTTGAACAAATTCATAAAGTTGGTGCAGAACGATTTTTCCTGCGGCATCCATGTGCTTTAGTCACATGTTGCAGTTCGAGTTTCTAGAAACTTTCTTAAGTTACTTATTTTAGCAAGGGTTTAGTTAACGGGCTTCTGAGCACTTGCCAACCATTAGACCTGGGTGTTCTTGAGACATTGGAATCGAGTACAGTACCATAATTGTACACATTACAACGAAATCTCGACGTGCAATTTTTTTGTTTGTATATAAGTCTGAGCTCATTAAATATAGCTTAACTAGTGCTTCGGCTGGTCATCTTTTCCTCTTAAACTGATTTGAAGCGCCCATAATTTTCTTAAGGGAACCTTAAGAGTCCATAAAACATTTGATGAAGCTCTATAATCAATCGGGTTTTTGTCTCCGTGATTAAATTTTTCGACAGAAGCCAAGCTGTCTATCCTCTTGTCATTGCAACCCATCCCCAAGAGCCAAACCAATTAGCTATCGGCTTAACGGATGGATCCGTCAAAGTCCTGGAGCCGACGGAATCGGATGGGAAGTGGGGAGCAACTCCGCCGCTAGATAACGGACTGTTGAGCGGGAGAACGGCGTCGTCGTCTACCACGAGCAACCACACGCCGGAGCAGATGCAAAGATGACAGCAAAACCTCAGGGACCCGACGGTCACCCGCTTCTCGAGACTGTCTGTGTTGTTATGTGTGTAGATTATTAGGGCTTTTCGTCGTTGGCCCCCCGGATTTGCGGGGGAATGTTACTCATTGACCTGACACATTGTTGTCTGTATAGACGTGATACATGCCTCTTTCTTTCTTCTTCTTTCTTCTTTGTTAGTATTGGAGATGATATGTTCTGTGGAACAAATTTTGGATTTTGATTCTGCTTCTGCGAAAGACTGTCATTGTACAAAGCTCAGATTATCTTTTAAGGCATTGAAGAAATAGGAAAGCAGGAGGGAATGAACCATGTCCTGTTATGCATTTACTAATTTCGACTGACTATAATTTCTTCTTCTTTTTTCTGTTTATTTTTATTGATGCAGTTTGCTAACTATGCTTGAAAAAATTAGTCAGTGAAAAATATCTTTATTATGGATAATAATTTACGTGTTAATATTTTCGTGGACAATGAAAATATTTTTCGTTTTTTCGTTTTTGTTAATGATACGGGAGATCATTTTATGTTTTTTAAATAATTTACTTTTCGCGAAGCAAACGAAGCTTGAAAAGTTATTGAATATTCCTCACTAATGGTGTGCGACATCCGAACGAAAATTAGATCATAACGAAAGGAAGACGGAACACTGAGTCGCGCAATACTTCTTGCAACGGATTCGGAGGTCGCAACCTCATATATGGTCGCGACTTCCAAATGCATGGCGCGGAGTCCACGAAGTAAGCGTAACCTTCGCCGAAAGGCCGACCCGAGATAGAGAGAGATTGAGTCGAGCATAATCATGGTGGATGGCGAAGACAGATGATCAAAGTTTATAGATCATATTATACATTAAATCAAAGTTCATGGACCCATTTACCACGTTTTCCCTCGAAAATTTGAATACTTCGCTTGGATAAAAAAAAGAGAGTTAAATAATCAACAATGCCGTTTTAACGGAACCTTTTACAATATAGCCGTACGAAGCGGTTCGACCGGACCGGATTTGGGCCGGTTCGAAGGGGCTTACCGGTTCATATTCACATCATTTCTTGCTATTAAGATTTAGGGTTTCTCTCTCCCTCCCTCTTCTCTCTCTCTCTCTCTCTCTCTCTCCTTCCCTGAGAACTTCATCTGCTCGACAATGGCGAATCGTACGGACCCGCTGGCGAAGAGCATCCGGGGCACGAACCCGCAGAACCTGATCGAGAAGATCGTGCGGTCCAAGATATACCAGAACACCTACTGGAAGGAGCAGTGCTTCGGCCTCACGGCGGAGACCCTCGTCGACAAGGCCATGGAGCTCGACCACATCGGCGGCACCTTCGGCGGCAACAGCAAGCCCACGCCCTTCCTCTGCCTGGTCCTCAAGATGCTGCAGATCCAGCCCGAGAAGGACATCGTCGTGGAGTTCATCAAGAACGAGGATTACAAGTACGCCTCCTCGCCGTGTCGTCTCTTTCGTGCTTGGTTCTCGCGATGAGAAATCGATGAGCTCGAGGAGAATTTGCTGGATTCGGCCTCAGCGATATCGCTTTTAGCTGACTTTTTAGCTGCGCGGGGGCGCGTGCGTTTGATTCGGGGCTTTGTCTGTAGCGGTGTAGGTAGTCGCCGCCACGGCGGGCGCGCATTACCTGAATCTGAGCAAGTGAAAATTTGCGAGTTCAGGTTTTGGTGGAGCATTTCGTGGGGAAGATTTAAGCTGGGACGGAGTTAGGGAACTTGGATTTGGATTGAAAGTCTTAGATGTGACATTGTAGTTTCGGAGGTGATAGATATGAGGAAATGATGTGGTCGTAGACTAAGACCGGCGCGGTAAATTTGTTTCGGTATATGTTGATCTCGTGAGTTTTGTGTAGATTGGTGTGCTGATACGGTAGGGAGAAGACTAAATGATAAGGGGACTGTCCTGTGGACGTTCTTTGCGAAACCAACTCGAAATATATTTGGAGACGAGAATCGATGAAAAGGCGTGTAGTTCGGTTCTGGATTTGAGGAAGTGGAGTTTCTATGAGCGTGTTCTGCTGATTGGTGATGATTGTGAGGCGAAACCTAATTATGGCTTTGAACCTGTAACTGAAGGTTCATAATATGCATTATTTGCTGGGCTTAAGTATTTTCTGTTTTACCGTTACGGAATGTAGATTCTCCTACTCTCTGTCTTTGCAACTTATTCTGATTATTCTTGATGCTTATTATGTCGTAGGTATGTTCGTGTACTTGGTGCCTTTTACTTGCGTCTCACGGGAACAGATATGGATGTTTATCGATATTTGGAGCCTTTGTACAATGACTATCGCAAAGTGAGGCAAAAGTTAACTGGTGGAAGTAAGAAAATTTCCTTTCTTTCGTAGTGTTTAACTTATTTGTTTAGATATTCAGCCTGAATGAGTAGCGTATCTTTTATTATCATCGAAGTGTTGTATTCTGTAATGCTAATTGACATGGTTTTTTTGTGTTTTACCCTCTTTATAATCAGACTTTGCCTTGACACATGTGGATGAGGTCATTGATGAACTCTTGACAAAGGACTATTCATGTGATATTGCATTGCCGCGCATCAAGAGAAGGTGAATTTTTTATGACTCTTGCTAGCACTGTTTTAACTCTTAGTCTTCTTTGTCCTTGCCAGTTACATGTGTAGTTTCTAGTTTTTGATACTGGATGTGGCAGTAGATAATCAAATTTATTATTAGCCATGGCTTTTTTGACTTGAGCGGTAGCTTGGCCGTAGCTAGCTATTGTCTTTTGAGGCTTATTTTATTGTTCAAAAGCATGATTAAAGCATTTGCTTTTCACCCTCTTAATTTTCTACTGCATTTGAACACAGTAGTTAATTGGATTTGTTATAATTTGGTTTGTTTTATCTCTTTGGCGTAAGTTTTTGAGTAGTTGGATTGTTCGGTTGTGACCTTGTGAGAATGTGCATCTCATGGTCCTACCATATAATAACTGCGATTTTGGTGTATGTTGAGGGTCTTCCTTAAGTAATTGTCCCTTCCCCCCTCCTCTCTCCTTTGTTAGATGGACTCTCGAATCGGCTGGTGATCTGGATCTCAGAAAAAGTGCTCTGGAAGATGACTTTGAGGAAGAGGAAGAGAAGGAAGAGAACGAACAACTTGTTGATGGGCTAGAAGATGGTGCTCCCGAAAAGGTTTGCTTCGTTCTTGCTTCTTCAAATTTGCTCCATTCCTTATTCTCCTTTTTGTTTTTTGGTTTTTCATTCGGTTTGCATGAGCAATATCCTCAGAGGTTAATGCTATCATCACTTTAACAGGACTATTATCGTGGACGAAGCCCAACAAGGGAAAGAGATAGAGACAGAAGGCGTGATAGTCACCGACACAGGTAACTGGATTGCTGGTTTCCTGTTTCAAATTAGATTCTTTGTGATCGAAGCAGTGCAGAATTCCTCACTAATGCAATTATGGTTCTTAAATGTTTACTCTCTCTGTGTTTTCTGCTTTCATTATAGGTTGAGTGTTTGTTTTTTTATTTTTTTGGTGCTAAAAATGTTTGTGCAAGTGGGGAGATGTTATTTGTGTTCCATATGAAACTTAGGATGCTTGCAGAGTCACACCTATATTGTAATGATGATAAGGGGATGGCGGAAGAAGTTGCGATGTTTAGATGCCTTTTGACAATGATTAGTTCTTAGCAGAAAAATCAGTTTAGGATTGTGATTGTGCACATTGAAGTTATAATGCATTAATTATTGACATGGTAACATGGCTTCAGAATAATTGAAGTTACCAGGCTTCTCAGTGTGAATAGCGTCAGTGGTGGTAAAACTTGAGCGGATTGGGAATTTCATTTTGATATCTTTAATTGCTGGAAATTCAATGTTTGTGTGGTTTTCTCTTTGGTGCTGCAAAGACCTAAATTTTAATATGATTGTAAGGTCGATTTGCATACTTAATGTACAATTTGACTCATCAACTTCTCGGACTAACCATCTCTCAAGAGTGCAACCGGTGATGCATTACCTTGCTTAGGTTATTGTGACAGGCATCGTGGAAGCTGTTATTCATAAAACACTTGCACACACGTTCACTTCAGTCCAAGCATTATGCCAATACTGTGAGTCATGACAGCGTCACATAGTGCTGTCCATCGTTCAATACAGCTTCCTACAGTAATATTCATGATCCTGCCAGGTTTCTCTGCACTGACAGTGTGCAGCGAGAAGTATGATGGATCGGACATTTTCATATTAAGTCATTATGTCCTACTAGGCATCCATACATTCTTTCTTGCTTCTTAATGTTCTATGTTTTTAGCAGCCAATGTGATGGTCTCATTTCTTATTGTTATTTAGATCATCTTGGGTGGATGGGATGATTAAGATATGTTGATTCCTTAAAACTTCTAGAATGCTTATGTCATTTTTGCTTATCGTCTGAGGCTAGAAGTAATGGTAAACTGATGATCATTTCCCGTTGTCACAGAGATCGAGATTATGACAGGGATTATGAGAGAGACTATGATAGAGAACGTGGGCGTGGGCGTGGACGGGAAAGAGATAGAGATAGAGACAGAGACAGGGACAGGGATAGGGATAGGGATAGGGATAGGGACAGAGACAGAGACAGAGACAGAGATAGAGACAGAGACAGGGACCGGTATCGTGTGAGGGATGAAAGAGACTATGGTCGTGAGAGGGATCATGAACGAGAAGGTAGAGAACGAGACAGGCGAGACAGAGACCGTGGGCGGAGAAGGAGCCAGTCAAGAAGTCAAAGTAGGAGCAGGGACCGGAAGGACCGTGATGGCGGGGAACACCGTAAGAGACATGCACGTGGCAGCACAAGTCCTAGAAGGCGTGGGCATGAAGATAGCCGAGAAGAGCCGAAGAAGAAGAAAGAGAAGAAGGAAAAGAAGGATGACGGGACTGATCATCCTGACCCAGAGATTGCAGAAGCAAACAGGTTGCGTGCTTCTCTGGGGTTGAAACCGTTGAAGCTCTAGGCGTGACGGTTGCAGAGACATGTTGATTGAGTGATTACTGACGTTGCTGCTTAGTCTGATGGAATGCACATATAGCTAATATGCTGTCTTTACTGTCTAAATTGAGCGGCGAGCAATCTCCAGAACATTTGTTATTTTTGTAGGCTTTCAGCTGGCGTCTTGTGATGCATGAGGGAATATATTGCCGTCTTATCCTCTTTGGTTGCATGATTGCGGGATACAGATGTGAGTCACGTGGCTTGAGTTCTTAGATCGTTTGAGAACTGATGTAATCGGTCCGGACTCCCGTGTACTCGTGTCTGCAAATGTTTGAGTTTAGGATCTTACAAGACGTGCTAACCATTTACAACTACATCAAAAAAATGAGATTTAGCATCCATTTTTATGCACCCATTTCGGTCGAAATTTTGTCAAGACACTTGGAAAAAGCAGAATTTGGATATGATAAGGTTTTCTACTGCTCTAAAAGACATTTGATGGAAGCATGTTTTCCGGCTATAAATTTACAAGGAACTGCAGACGGCAAGTCGGAAAAAAGGGTAGATTTCTCCAGTCATGGAAGCAACTCTGGTACCAAAATGCCATTGTTGTCATACTGGAGAGTGCCAGAACAGTTCAGTGGCTTGCACCTCCTTCCCATCAGAATTCTCTTCTTGCACAGCTCCACTACCCCACCTTCCTCCTCTTCATTTGTAAGGATTTCGTCGCTGTCGTCTTCTTCGTTTCGTTCTTCTTTGATGGGGTTGCTCACTTTGTAGCACACGGTCTTGGCCTTCATCCTCTGTCGCGCGCATTGCAATTTCGTCAACACCCAAGCTACAGCTCTAGCCCTTATGGTGGATTGAGGAATACCACTGGTACACCCTTTTTCAGCACCAATGTCAACACCGTTGCCATTGCTCTTCCCGACCTTGACCTCGAGAAGTTTCATGCTTGGATTCTTCTTGAAGACGGTGGACAGAAGAAGCATCGCCCTCTGATGCCGCTTACTCAGCACCATCCGTCCATGTGGACTGCCTTTCTCTCCGCATCTCTCACCGTTTTCCCTGCATTCGGAATCCGCGACATCTTTCAAGGAAAGCGGCATTGGCAACACCGGCTCTGTTCCGTAGGCAAATGACCGAATCGAATCTTCCAAGCACCCGGTGCCGCCTCTACCAGAGCCGTAGATCAACTTCCCCAAGTCCAGCCCAGTCCTTTCCAAACCGTCTTTTTTCTCATCCTCTGCAACGGCTTCGATGCAACTGTGAGCATCAACACGCACGCTCTTGCTACTGCCGGCGCTAGAATAACACGTCAGTCGCAGTATCACCCCGCTGAACACACTGGATAAGATGGAACGGGCTCTCTTCAGCCAGTTCCTCTCGTTCTCGCCTCCATCGGCACCATTTTCCACTCCGGGACGAGCAAGTCCCCGCATGGCCTTTGCTAGCATTTTCGGAAAATCTCGATCCTTCTATATGAATGATCGAGGGAGGGCAATGCTAGCGAGGTGCGGGATAGCAGGAGCTTGGAGAGCAGAAGCGGAAGCTTATGGGAGTGTTGGGTTTCTCTTCATACGTGCATTGAGTGAAGGTGGGCATCTGATGTTGCTGTGTCACCAGGCTTTCTTCTCACCTGCGCTGAACTGAGAACCATCCGAGGTTTCTAAGTGTTTGACAGTTGAGGGAAAAATGGATCTGCAGTTATGGAAGAATAGAACTGTTCAAACGTGGTTTTGAGAAAAGGCGCTACTCGTGTGGTGGGGGATCGTGCATGCTTGCTTCTCATCCTCGTCTCTTGCACACGAATTTCTACGGTTTTTTGAACTGATTCAAATGGCAAAATAGGGAACATAAAAGGACTAGCATGGGAAAATAAAAGGAGGGAACAAAAAAGGATTAAGTATGGATTTAGTCCTTTTAAGTTTCCGCGTTGGTGCGATTTAGTTTTTTTTTAAGGTACGAATCGTCTGGTCAAATCTTCTAATTTTCTTTTGGATTTGTGCGATTTGGCCCTCTAAATTTTATTTGTTGAATCGATCTCTTTGGTCTGACCACTCTAATTAAACTGTCAAACTGATTAATGATGTGGCACTGCTTCATGTGACGGAAAACGACATGTGATGCAACTTTCGTGTACCTTGGACAAACAAAGCACTTGATTGCACAGAGCAACAGAGTTAGGGGATTTGGTTGCATGAAAGGTAACTTAAAATGATCAAATTGCACAAATGCTAAAATTTAAAGAGTCTCTGCTAAAAGGCCCCAAAAGAATATTTTTATTTAATTGGTACCAACATAACAAGAATTAGAGATATTTTTTCTCTTTTTTTTTTTGTCTCTGCTACTGGTTAAATCGCTCGGACTTGGACATTCTTATATTTTCATGAACTAACCTTGGGAGTCGGTTGTAGCTTCAAAAAACCACTCTGGTCTGGTGGCCCTTGGGGGAAGAAAAGAAAAAACTGTTCCTAAACTTTGATTCAACGTGTAACGTGATCTCTGAACTTTTAATTTGTCCAATGCGATCCCCAAACTTTAACCTAATGTGCAATGTGATCCTTGAACTTTTAATTTGCTCACTGTTGTCCCTGAAATTTTAGTACATGTTCAATTTAATCCCTAAACTATATGAAAATATTCGATATGGTCCCTAAACTCGAATTAATGGAACAGCTACATTAAATATTTCACATAGTTCAGGGACTACATTGAACATACTAAAAGTTTAGTGATCAAGTTACACATTTGACCAAAGTTCAAGGATTAATTTGTGTCATTATCCCAAAAAATACTAATATCGTGAAGATTTAGCCTAAAAATACTCGAAATTACTAATATTTAATATAAAAAAAGGTTCAATTTTACATGTTTCAAAGTAGTCATTAGAAAGAGACATTAGCGGAAAACCACCCTCCGCTTTGCTCCCCCCGTATCAAATGATCGTCTCACATTTCATAACCCATATATCTTACGTCTTCGCGACCCGAAAATACCCGTATGCCATGCGTGTCTAAAATCTATGTGAACTTCAATGTTGAGGATGAAGAAAATTCGGGAAAGAGAATGACGGCTTGGCGAACTACGTGCGCCTGAGAAATGCAACTTGAAATCTAAGGCAAAAAGTGAGGATGGTAATCATATACATTTGAAATGCGAGAAAGTGATATAAGGAGCCAAGTCGAGGATGGAATTAGCAATTTTCTCTCTTGGATATTGAACAAAAGATTTTTAAGTTTTCGTGCAACTTTTCAATTAAATAAATGGTCTCCTTGTATCGCGGAAAATGAATATTTTTTATTAGCTAATTATTACAAGCGATAATTTTAAGAAAATAATTTTTAAATCATTTATTTTCTGTAAAATAAACGGAACAAAGTAAGAGTTTTCTTTTCTTGTTATTTCTATAACAACGCAAAAACACTCACTTTCAGTATTTCCTCGGCAGGTTGTCATTGCCCATGCAAACCTTCATGAAGAAGGTGTTAATTTTTTTTCTAAAGCAATAAAATGCAAATGAAGTCATTAATAAATTGTCTCCTTTTATTCCTCTATTTTAACATATTTATTTTCATTAATATATTTTTTTTCAAAGGCTAAGAATTGGACAACCGTCGAAAAATAGACAACTGCCCACTACCTAAAACAAAATTTTTTTTTTGCTCAAATTTACCGGCACGCATCGGTTCTAATTTGCATGATTAGATCGAACGTCAAACATACAAGATAGGAAAATAGTAAAAATTCATCGGAACAGTCTCGGAGCGTATTACCGTTTTAATGAAATAATTTCCACTCTTTACCAAAAAAACTATTTACCATGTCGAACTTATAACCGCTCCCTTCACTAAATTACCTCAGTTTATTACTAAATGGAAAAGAAGGGGTTAATTTCATAAAAAAAACACCAACTTTAGGTCGAGAGACAATTCTGGCCCGAATTTTTTTTTGTCTAGTAAAAAAGAACCAACTTTCATTTAAATCCAAAATTTGACCCCCCATTGACTTTCTGTCTGAAGTTACTCTTATTTGAGAAAAAAAGTTATGGTGGTGAGCGTGGCGAATATCTTCCATGGCGTCTGTCGATGGACGGTGGTCTACAGCTTCAGATTACGACAAAACGACGAAGTTTGGCCAGAAAGATTCAATCTGGAGATATTTTTGACTTGCCGGTGAAGTGAAGGAGACGAACAGTTTCACCGTTATTCTTCAAGCTGTGGTTCAGAGAATAAGACAATGAATAATGCTTTAAATCCAGTCAGCAAGTCACGTGGATTTATTGCTAAGGTGGAATAGTCAAGTTGGAAAATCAATGATTTTAAGTCAATAAGGGCCAGATTTGGGATTTAAGTGAAAGTTGGTACTTTTTTACGAGACAAAAAAAAGTTCAGGCCAGAATTGTCCCTCGACCTAAAGTTGGTGCTTTTTTACAGGACAAAAAAAAGTTCGGGCCATAATTGTCCCTCGACCTAAAGTTGATGCTTTTTTATGGAATAAAAAAAAGTTCGGGCCAAAATTATCCATCGACCTAAAGTTGGTGCTTTTTTTGGAATTAACCCGGAAAAGAAGAAGGTAATTACCCTTTTTAACTCTCCTTTACAGAACTCACAAGGTCAGTAACGTAATTTCCCGAGATCCCCAAAACGACGACACTCCTACGGGTCGCTCCGCTCCGTATTTTTTTCACAGGCTCTAAACCCTAACTTTCGCTTACCCCAATCTCATCTCTCTCTCTCTCTCTCTCTCTCCCTCACTCTCCTCGCGCAGCCGCCCCGCGACCCTCCCTCCCGGCACGGCGGCCCTTGTCGGCGGACGGCGACTCCGGCGAATCGACGGCCTCGACCGACTGTAAGGCGAGCGTCCGCTGGCTCGATCCTCTCTATAAGTTCGCCGCCTGTGTTGTTTTGCCGGAGTTTCTTTCCTTTCTTCTTTCCTTTCGCCTTTGTGATGAAGAGTTTCGATGCGGATTCGCTTGCGTTCTAGGCGTTTCGAGGAGAGGTTTTTCGTAGTGGATTGGGCGATTGTTGGATCTTTAGGCGAGAGTTGAGAGAATCCCCCTAGTTTTTTTTAGATTCGTAACACGCAGGTTTCAGAGCTCGGCAATCGTCGATATAGCGGGTTCGATCTTCATCGCGCGGTTGATGGAGATGCGTTCGTTTGCGCGAAACATCACCGAGACACGACATTTTTTTGTATAGCTTTATGGAGTTTCACCGGCTTGTAGCGCCAAAATAAGTTCTCGAACGAGCCAATTTTGCGGTTCCATGCGCACGTCGACTGCCGGTTACCGATTAGTTTTACTCCGCTGCGCTTGTTGTTGCTTTAGGAGGGATGGAGGGTTATGATGATTTGCGTTCTGGTTCAGATTCTGTTGGGTCATTCGTGCGTGTATATTGTTAATCGACGTGGCTGAATCTATCACTTTTTTTTTTCTGGTACGTGCATTGAAGGTTTTAGTGTTGGTGGGCAGTTTTGTTTGTGGATTGGGTATGGGAGTGTGAAGCTTGAATTTTTGCTTGTGCTTTATTTAGTTGTGGCGGTGTACTGGGTATTGGTTGATAGGCTGACGAAATTGCTTACTAGGGGATATGGAGTCTTAGGTGTTAGATTTAATGAACAGGCAGGTCTTTCTTAAATTTCTTATTGGTATGTTCTATGTTTTTTTTTTCATGGTTATTATGGTTATTTTCTTGTTTCCTGGCAAACAGAAAATACATTTATCGAACCAATTGTGTGTAATATGGGACGGTACCCAACTTACGGTGCCGCCAATTGTGCAACTTCATATGTTATGCTTGTGGCATCAACATTTTATGTTACCTCTTCTCTTAACAGGCTGAAAGAAGAGCGGGAACATGTCGACTTTTGTGAAACCAGAGAATGCATTGAAACGAGCTGAAGGTAATCTTGAGTTTTCTCTCTGCCAAACATTTATTCGAGTTTGGTTGGACAAACTTTATGAATCTTATGCCAGTATACTCTCTTTCTTTTTTGCCCCCTTTGAAGCTCATTTGAGAGAATAGTTAGTTGTCACATTCATTACATTCCTTTTTCACAACTTGGAGTTTTCCTGACAAAGTTTGTTATTCCATGGATGCAGAGCTGATCAATGTTGGGCAGAAGCAAGATGCTCTGCAAGCACTTCACGATCTTATTACCTCGAAGAGATCCAGAGCATGGCAAAAGACCCTTGAGAGGATTATGTTCAAGTACATTGAGCTATGTGTTGATATGCGGAGGGGGAGGTTTGCCAAGGATGGCCTGATTCAGTATCGCATTGTATGTCAACAAGTGAATGTCACCTCTTTGGAGGAGGTGATCAAGCATTTCATGCATCTCTCAACAGAGAAAGCAGAGCAGGCGCGAAGCCAGGCGCAAGCCTTGGAAGAAGCTTTGGATGTTGATGATCTTGAGGCGGATAAGAGACCAGAGGATTTAATGTTGAGTTATGTCAGTGGAGAGAAGGGAAAGGATAGGTCTGACAGGGAGCTAGTTACTCCTTGGTTCAAGTTTCTATGGGAAACATATAGGACGGTGCTTGAAATATTGCGAAACAACTCAAAGTTGGAGGCTCTTTATGCGGTAATTTCTTTCTTGACATTTGTCAAAGCATGTTGTTAACTATATGTATTCGTAGAAAGGCAGTTTGAAGTTGTCGATCTATGTAGTCTCTCTAGCAATTTATGGTTGTGATGGTGTTCTCTAATTACACTGAAGTTCTGATACTGTAGGCCTCATTTACCTGTTTTAGAATTTTTAATGCGAATGTCCTCATAGTTGCATTTTATGGGACATCCAGGTGGATGATAAATGGATATTGCCAGCTCATTTCTCTCTAGTCAGATTATGCATAAAAATGTAGACCATGAGACAACTTCTGGATGATCCTCGTATTTGGTTTTTTTCTTGTTAGTATAATGGTAATGTCTGCTACGACAGGATCAAGTATGGTGTATCTGCATTCATCATGACAATCAGCTTTTTATCAGAAGTCTGCATTTTATAACGTGGATCTTGTGTCATGGACAGATGACTGCCCACCGAGCATTCCAATTTTGCAAGCAGTATAAACGTACAACGGAGTTTCGGAGATTGTGCGAGATAATCCGAAATCATCTTGCAAATCTCAACAAGTACAGAGATCAAAGGGACCGACCTGATCTGTCAGCTCCAGAGAGTCAGCAACTTTACTTAGATACCAGATTTGAGCAATTAAAGATTGCCACTGAACTTGAACTGTGGCAGGTCTCTGTATAGTTATGTCAACTTTGGTATGGTTTCTGTTCTTTTATTAGTGTAATTGTCTTCCTCATAGAGTTTCATTCTTTCCTGCAGGAAGCTTTCCGCTCAGTTGAGGATATTCATGGATTGATGTGCATGGTTAAGAAAACGCCCAAAGCATCCTTGATGGTGGTTTACTATGCAAAATTAACCGAAATCTTCTGGATTTCATCTAGCCATCTCTATCATGCTTACGCGTGGTTGAAGCTTTTTAATCTTCAGAAAAGTTTTAACAAAAACTTAAGTCAGAAGGACTTGCAACTGATTGCATCATCAGTTGTCTTGGCTGCACTTTCTGTTGCCCCATATGAGCGCACTCGTCATGCATCACATATGGAGCTTGAAAACGAGAAGGAACGCAATTTGAGGATGGCTGATCTTATAGGATTCAATGTTGATCCTAAACTTGAGGGTAGAGAGATGGTAACTATACTTCAGTGCTCCTCATAGTAATTGATCTTTGGTTTGGGCTATTTTAATATTCTTATTTTTTTCACAGCTTTCACGGTCATCTCTCGTGTCTGAACTGGTAAGATCAGAAGTTTCTCTTCATATCTACTTCTTAATAGTTTGAGTGGATATGCACTCTTGCTGTTATTTTGCGCCAAAATTCACGACTTTGTGCTCTTGTAGGCACAATTTTTAATCTGCATAAATCTAAGCGGTGCAGAAGTTCTCTTATCCCATTTTTGCATTGTTCTATCTAAATCTCATTGCTTTTGGCGCCTATATTTTACAAAACTGCAGGTTGCGAAGGGTGTGCTTAACTTTGCTACTCCTGAAGTGAAAGATCTTTACCATCTTTTGGAGCATGAGTTTCTTCCGCTGGATCTTGCAATGAAGGTGCAGCCCTTGTTAGTTAAAATTTCCAAACTCGGGGGTAAGCTTGCTTCAGCATCTTCTGTGCCAGAAGTGCAGTTGGCCCAATATGTTTCTTCCCTGGAGAGAATTGCCACCCTGAGGTTGCTTAAGCAGGTACTTTAAAGTGCTCAAGATTATTTATTGACTCTCATAACGGGTACTATGAAGAAATATTTATATGTCATTCTTGTGGAAAATGTCGATGGATTCAATTTGTTCTTTCTTTCTTTCTTATTTCAGATGTCCCAGGTGTATCAAACAATGAAAATTGAGAAGCTATCACAGATGATTCCTTTTTTTGATTTCTTGGTTGTGGAGAAGATTTCAGTGGACGCTGTCAAGCATAGCTTTATTTCTTTGAAAGTTGATCATGCCAAAGGTGTTGTTTTGTTTGGCAATCAGGTTAGTTATTGCCTGCCTCCATGTCTTGGTGTGATTATTTGCATGGTCTACCAGGATGTAGACTTAGTTTTTTAGATAATGTCTGTCAGTCTGCATTTGCTATAGAAGAGTTTGATGTTGTAGAGGTACTTATCTTGGAAAGCAAATCATGTTGCCTGGTAGTTCACTTGACTATTGTGTTACTTACCTAAAAAAGGAAAAAGTTTCTGTGTCACCTTATCTTGAAGTTTAGTGTGTTTAAGGGTCTACCACCCATCTTGATGTAAGAAAGTGGATCTTAAGGAACAATTTGGTAAAGGTTGGAGACTTTTCTTGTAATTTGATATTGGCCAATCTTGAAACCTTTGTTGTGAGTTGTACGCTTTCCTTTTTAGCGTCATGGCATATAGGTGGTTGTTTGGATGGATAAATACCGTCAAGCTTCTAGAAAGTTGATTTCCCTTCTACTTTTCTAGAGTAGCTTGTGCCACTGATCTTCTGATAGGGAGGTTGACAAGATTGATATGCATGTGCTATCTGTAGTTGTGTTTTGAATTTCGACGAAGCATGGCGTAAAATATATGTCACTAATAGTGCATGGCATGTTCACATTTGTGATTTTTGTAATATAAGTCTATAGTGATCTTTGCCTCCCTCCTGATAGCACTGTTGTCAAATTTGTACTTCAATTCTGTGCATCATTCTTTATCTTTAAGTTTACTTGAGCTTTTGGATCATTTGAAATATAAGTGCTGTACAGTAGTATTTTGCTTGTGACCATGGTGATGGAATGTGTTAGCCTACATGTCTATTTGAGACATCTGTGTTGTTGATTGCGGGGTTGCTACCTTACCTTTCTTGCATCATTTCTTTTAGGGTCTTGAATCAGATGCCTTGCAAAATCACCTGGCACTGCTTGCTGAGAACTTGAATAAAGCAATGGCCATGATATATGCTCCTGTCAAGAAAGGGTCAAAGTTAGGCGAAATGTTGCCAGGTTTAGCAGAGACTATAGACAAGGAACACAAGAGACTTCTTGCTCGGAAATCAATTATTGAGAAACGTAAAGAAGAACACGAGCGGCAGTTGCTGGAAATGGTAACCTGCTTGCTCTGCGACTTGATTCTGTTTTGCTTGAATGCTCACATACTCTACTCCATTGCTGTGAGTCATTCTCTTTTAATATTCTTTTTTTCTCAAGGAACGTGAGGAGGAGTCAAGGAGGCTAAAGCTGCAGAAGATAACTGAGGAGGCAGAGCAGAAGAGGCTCGCATCTGAGTACGAGCAAAGAAAGAACCAAAGGATCCTCAAGGAAATAGAAGAAAGGGAACTTGAAGAAGCGCAGGCCTTGCTTCAGGAAGCTGAAAAACGCAGTAAAAAGAAGGGAAAGAAGCCAATTTTAGAAGGAGTACGTTGAAGATGTCTTTCATGTCCTATATCTATAAGTGGGGATATCTTCTGATGCTTTCCGTGCAATTTTTTCAGGAAAAGGTGACGAAAGAAACGTTAATGGAGCTTGCTAGGAGTGAGCAACTTAGGGAGAGGCAGGAAATGGAGAAGAAATTGCAAAAACTAGCGAAGACAATGGATTACTTAGAAAGAGCAAAGAGAGAGGAGGCGGCTCCATTGATTGAAGCTGCATTCCAGCAGCGATTGGTTGAAGAGAGGGTGCTCCATGAACACGAGCAGCAGGTGTGTTTTTGAACTTATGTAAAAGCGAGGCTTCTTCTGATAAAGTAGGTTGGCCTATTATGGAATATAAGAATTTGACATAATATAGTTGCATCCATTCTGAAACTGACTCAGATGGGTTCTATAGTCTGATTATCGTTTTTCATGGTAATTTTCAGCAAGAAATTGAGCTAAGCAGGCAGCGGCATGATGGGGACCTCAGAGAGAAGAATAGGCTTGCCCGTATGTTGGAGAACAAGGTCAGAACCCCTCTTTGATTTTGGAGCTGTATACGAAGTGTTTGTGTAGAGTATTCTTTTTTCATCTTTATTGTCAGCATTATGAAGGCAGTTTCAGTTTTTTAGTTATTTACAGAAGAATTGACATTTAGCGAACCTATTCTTGTGTCAGCTTTGATCTGTTTTTTGTTTAAAGTTGGGTTTTGTTGATCTGCAACTTTATCAGATTGATCTTGATGCTTGGGCAATACCTTCTTCAGGTGATATTCCAAGAAAGAGTCATGAGCCGCCGTCAGGCAGAATATGACCGGCTAAGGGCTCAGAGTGAGGAGCAAGTTAGGCAGGAACTCCAGGCCAGGAAACAGCAGAGAGAAGCAAAGAGGAAGAAGCTATTCTTTTTGAGTGAAGAGGAGAAACGGCGTCAAAGGTTACTTGAAGAGGAGGAAGCTCGAAGGCGTGAAGGTACTTTAATCTAAATAACTAATGTCTCTGGGTCCCGTTCCCCCTTCTCTCTTCCGAAAGCTCCTATAGTGGAGAATTATAGTGCTTTATAGTGCTTTGGCTGGCAACATTTATGGCCTTGGTTACAATGGATCTCTGAATTCTCATTTCTCTTATTACATGTTAGATTTTGGATTCATTTTGACTGCGCTATAGATGTCCTCGTGACTGAGCATTTAAAACTTGCAGAGGCCGAGAGGCGCTGCAAAGAGGAAGCTGAAAGGAAAGCTAAATTGGATGAGATTGCTGAGAAACAGAGGCAAAGAGAGAGGGAACTGGAAGAGAAAGAAAAGCAATGGAAAGAAACTATCTTGGGTCCCTCCAGACCGGTGGAGCCTTTCCCTGCTTCTAATCCTGTTGAGCCTGTTGCGGCCGCTGCCGCTGCTGCTGCCCCTGCTGCTGCCACCGCTCCAGCAAACCCTGGAAGGTATGTGCCCAAGTTCCTCAGAGAGAGGACTGAAGGCCCAGGAGCCGCACCTCCACCAGAAGCCGACCGCTGGGGTGGTAGAGGCAGACAGGACGACCGCTTCTCCCAGCCTAGTGACAGATGGCGCAATGATGAGCGTAGGCCCTCTGCCTTTGGCAGTGGTGGCAGCGGCGGTGGCGGCTCAAGGTCCACCTGGTCGTCATCCAGGCCATCGCGCGGTTGAGAACGCTGAAAGGGGTAATTGCTGTTCAATCAAGTGCTCTTGGACCGTTCATCTTTTCAGGAGTGCAGCTTTGAACCCGCATGTGGCTGGCTAGGAAATGGTTTTGCCATAATTTTGATGAATGATTGTTAAGTTATTGTTTCACCTGTTTACTATATGAGTAAAAAATAATTGTCTTCTATTTAGAACGCGGCCTGTTGCTCGTACATTCACCCGCTAGGGCATTGGTACCAAATGAATTTATCTTGTGGATATTGATGTGTGAGTTTTGTGTTAAAAGACTTTCTGGCCGAATGTTCAAGATCTAGTCTGGTCCCTCGCTTTTGTGCCTGCTTTATGCTGATTCTCTTTTATAGTGTGCATATTTTACATGTGTCACGGCTGAGATTTTCTTGGCTGAGGACTAGCCTGTGTGTTTGCCTGGTGAGTCGGATAGCGAATTGCAACACTTTTTACCGACCGTACCACTTTCCATTTCAGCCCTTAGAGCTCACTTTAGCACAATGAGTTTTGGTCAATTGAGAGATAGAGATTAGCTCCCAGGATTCTCCTAAAGATCCTTCGCATCTCTCATTTTCATCCTGATGCCAGGAAGCCCTGTTACCTTTTATTGCTGTGGAAGTAACGGGACCGTGGCACTAGCTCGCTCTCAGCGGAAACAGAAACTCATCTTCTTTTTTTTTGGTCATATAATGTAGCGGACAATGTTATGCATCGAAACAAAGCCCGGGTTATGTGACATACCATGACGGTTTAATATCTAAACTAGAAACCAACAAAGGAAATTATTGTAATATTCTCAAGCTTCAATTGCAACTAGAAAAACGGAATACAAAAAGGTTTGGTCTGTTCGCGAGGTCGCTACATAATAGCATCAATTTAAAGTACCAAGTCATGATTTACTCGCACCGAAACAACATGCGTATCCTGTTAGATGCAAGACAGGTTTAAACCTATTGAATTTGTGTTGATTCAATCCTAATCTTTTAATTGTACCAATTAAGTCCTAAACATTTTGACGGTTTGTTAATTGAATCCATCCGGCCAATTTTGATCGGAAATTACTGACGTGAAGGCCAATCGCTATAAGTGGCATGGCTAGCACTAACGTTGACATTTTTTTTATAATAATTTTTTCGATTTTCCTTTTCTTTACTGTTCTTTTGACCGAGTGTCGGTGACCCTCATCTAGGTGAGGTTGGCCCTCGCCTGATCGTGGCTGTCAAGGGTGGCCTCGCCCAAGCGAGGCCGTCCCTTGCCTGAGGCCGACAAGGGCGGCTGTTGCCAGATCATGCAAGGTCACCCTCGCTCGGCCCACTCTAGCCATTGCCTAAGACCGGCCACTGGCAAAAAGGAAAGAAAAAACGGAAAAAGGAAAAAATATTTAGAAACTTTTTAAAAAGTTGTCATGTCAACACCGATGTCAGGTAGGACGATTGGCACTGACTAGACTGCTATTTCGCAATTTTTCAATCAAAATTGGTCGGATGAACTCATTGACAGAACGTAAAAATATTTAAAACTCAGTTGGCACGGCATAAAGGTTTATGACTGAATTGGCATAAGTACAATATGTTAATGACTTTTTTGGTAATTTTCCCTTTAATTTTTCATACATGAATTCCATATTTGAGCATTCTATGCTGATTTTAGCTTACATTTATCTTGTTTCATAAAATCAACCCAACAAAGAGGAAAAGAAAAATCACAATCTGCATTTGAAATAGAAACTCACATTCCATTTGATTAAGAAAATGAAAAAAACAATGAGTGAACGTCTGGGTGGCTGAAGAAACATTATTTTAAAATTCTCAAATTGCCTTTTGCTTTTAGCATTTTAATATTTTCCATTTGCTATCAAACATTTCGAATAATATATATACAGCCACGCGTTTAAAGGTATGCAATATCCTGATGAATAGTCACTAAACTTTGACTCGATGTGCAGAGTCGTCTTTGAAATTTTTAATTTGTTTAATATGATCTCAAAACTTAGCCTTATGTCCAATGCCGTCTCTAAACTTTTAATTAGTTTAATCTTGTTCCTGAAATTTTGATATTTATTCAGTTTAGTTCGTCAGGGCCAGGATGAATTTATAAAAAAAAAATTTGCGGGGGGCGACATTGCATATCGGATCAAAGTTCAGGGACCATTTGTCTCTACCAACTTTCGAACTCCTGACCCTGGGTTCCGAGAAGAAGCTCTCGCAGCCAACAGCGCCGAAGGAAAGTTGGTGACGTTCACCGCTTTCGGAAAGATATTAATTCCGACCTTTCGGCTTAGACGGGCCAGCCCCGCATACCGTTTTACCGGGTCCGATTACCCGAACCCGTGTTGAACGGGCCGCTCCGAATGGACCGGCCATTCTCTTAAACCCTGCCTGTACCCATCCCTCTCTTCCTGGTTCTCTTCTTCTTCTTCTTCTTCTCCTTCTTCTTCTCTTCGCAGGTGCAGAAGTCTCTCCGCGCGAAATGAACTCCCTCGCCGCGAGATTCGCCAGGCTTCTCCGAGCCTACGCCTCTCAAGGTCGCGTTTTTATCTTCTTTTCGTGCGTAATTTTAGCGACGAGGCCTCATGTCTCGACGCATGTGCGAACGTGAGCTTGAGGATTGCGGGGCGAGGTTTCGGGAACGTGAAACTCAAACGTTGTTGTTCCGACAGTGGGGTCGTAGCACTTCGTGTTTTTTGTTTGTGTTTTTTGTGTTTTTAGCGACAGAGAAATCGGTCGATGCGGTTTGCTATTTAGAGTAAGCGGTGAGCCGTACAGCATGGTGGCTTTTTTTGCTAGGCGGCGTTCCGTCGAGCATCTTATGTGCGGGAGAGCTTTAAGGTCATTGTGGTTTTTGTTCGTGCCGGTTTCCCGCGTGATTTTTTTGTTGGCGACGATAGCTTGCGTGGAGTAGTGAGCCGACTGGCGTCGATCTTCTCTGTGTTTGCAGAGTCGGGTGTGCGCAGGGCGTCAAGGTGGTGGTACTCGACCGAGGTTTTGGATAGCGAGAAGGATGAGGAGAAGAAGGACGACGATCTGGGCAATGAGGATGACGACATTCTGGGCGACAAGAAGGAGTTGCAGCCGCATGGCGTGGATCCGAGAAGAGGTTGGGGTTTTCGTGGGGTACATAAGGTAAGTAATGTAATGGTCTCTTCCGTGAGGAAATATTTGAACAGAACGATACCTGTAATATGATTGAGCAGGGCAGACAAAAATTCTGCAATGGTTTACATTTGCATATGGAACTTATTGAAGTGTTCGAACCGGAGTTTTATATCGTTGAACGGTCATAGTTGGTTCTCCGAGGAGCTAAATTTCTCCGTATCAGTTTGGTTTATATCATCGAACCTTTGTGATTTATGTTCTACTTTACTCCATTGCTGTGAGTCATTCTCTTTTAATTTTCTTTTTTTCTCGAGGAACGTGAGGAGGAGTCAAGGAGGCTAAAGCTGCAGAAGATAAATGAGGAGGCAGAGCAGAAGAGGCTCGCATCTGAGTACGAGCAAAGAAAGAACCAAAGGATCCTCAAGGAAATAGAAGAAAGGGAACTTGAAGAAGCGCAGGCCTTGCTTCAGGAAGCTGAAAAACGCAGTAAAAAGAAGGGAAAGAAGCCGATTTTAGAAGGAGTACGTTGAAGATGTCTTTCATGTCGTATATCTATAAGTGGGGATATCTTCTGATGCTTGTCGTGCAATTTTTTCAGGAGAAGGTGACGAAAGAAACGTTAATGGAGCTTGCTAGGAGTGAGCAACTTAGGGAGAGACAGGAAATAGAGAAGAAATTGCAAAAACTAGCGAAGACAATGGATTACTTAGAAAGAGCAAAGAGAGAGGAGGCGGCTCCATTGATTGAAGCTGCATTCCAGCAGCGATTGGTTGAAGAGAGGGTGCTCCATGAACACGAGCAGCAGGTGTGTTTTTGAACTTATGTAAAAGCAAACTTTACATGTACACAATGTGGTATTGTATTATAACGCACAACTGCGAGGCTTTTTCTGATAAAGTAGGTTGACCTATTATGAAATATAAGAATATTACATAATATAGTGGCATCCATTCTGAAGCTGACTCAGATGGGTTCTATAGTCTGATTATCGTTTTTCATGGTAATTTTCAGCAAGAAATTGAGCTAAGCAGGCAGCGGCATGATGGGGACCTCAGAGAGAAGAATAGACTTCCTGGTATGTTGGAGAATAAGGTCAGAACCCCTCTTTGATTTTCGAGCTGTATACGAAGTGTTTGTGTAGAGTATTCTTTTTTCATCTTTATTGTCAGCATTATGAAGGTAGTTTTAGTTTTTTTAGTTATTTACTGAAGAATTGACATTTGGCGAACCTATTCTTGTGTCAGCTTTGACCTGTTTTTTGTTTTAAGGTGGGTTTTGTTGTCTGCAACTTTATCAGATTGATCTTGATGCTTGCGCAATACCTTCTTCAGGTGATATTCCAAGAAAGAGTCATGAGCCGCCGTCAGGCAGAATATGACCGGCTAAGGGCTCAGAGTGAGGAGCAAGTTAGGCAGGAACTCCAGGCCAGGAAACAGCAGAGAGAAGCAAAGAGGAAGAAGCTATTCTTTTTGAGTGAAGAGGAGAAACGGCGTCAAAGGTTACTTGAAGAGGAGGAAGCTCGAAGGCGTGAAGGTACTTTAATCTAAATAACTAATGTCTCTGGGTCCCGTTCCCCCTTCTCTCTTCCGAAAGCTCCTATAGTGGAGAATTATAGTGCTTTTATAGTGCTTTGGCTGGCAACATTTATGGCTTTGGTTACAATGGATCTTTGAATTCTCATTTCTCTCATTGCATGTTAGATTTTGGATTCATTTTGACTGTGCTATAGATGTCCTCGTGACTGAGCATTTAAAACTTGCAGAGGCCGAGAGGCGCCGCAAAGAGGAAGCTGAAAGGAAAGCTAAATTGGATGAGATTGCTGAGAAACAGAGGCAAAGAGAGGGAACTGGAAGAGAAAGAAAAGCAATGGAAAGAAACTATCTGGGGCCCCTCCAGACCGGTGGAGCCTTTCCCTGCTTCTAATCCTGTTGAGCCTGTTGCGGCCGCTGCTGCTGCCGCTGCCCCTGCTGCCGCTGCCGCTGCCTCTGCCCCTGCTGCTGCCGCCGCTCCAACAAACCCTGGAAGGTATGTGCCCAAGTTCCTCAGAGAGAGGACTGAAGGCCCAGGAGCCGCACCTCCACCAGAAGCTGATCGCTGGGGGGGTAGAGGCAGACAGGACGACCGCTTCTCCCAGCCTAGTGACAGATGGCGCAATGATGAGCGTGGGCCGCCCGCCTTTGGCAGTGGCGGCGGCGGCTCAAGGTCCACCTGGTCGTCGTCCAGGCCAGCGCGCGGTGGAGAACGCTGAAAGGGGTAATTGCTGTTCAATCAAGTGCTCTCGGACTGTTCATCTTTTCAGGAGTGCAGCTTTGAACCCGCATGTGGCTGGCTAGGAAATGGTTTTGCCATAATTTTGAGGAATGATTGTTAAGTTATTGTTTCTCCTGTTTACTATATGAGAAAATAATTTTGTCTTCTATTTAGAACGCGGCCTGTTGCTCGTACATTCACCCGCCTAGGGCATTGGTACCGAATGAATTTATCTTGTGGATATTGATGTGTGAGTTTTGTGTTAAAAGACTTTCTGGCCGAATGTTCAAGATCTAGTCTGGTCCCTCGCTTTTGCGCCTGCTTTATTCTGATTCTCTTTTATAGCGTGCATATTTTACATGTGTCACGGCTGAGATTTTCTTGGCTGAGGACTTAGCCCGTGTGTTGCCTGATGAGTCGGATAGCGAATAGCAACACTTTTTACCGACCGTACCACTTTCCATTTCAGCCCTTAGAGCTCACTTTAGCACAATGAGTTTTGGTCAATCGAGAGATATTGACATTAGCTCGCAGGATGACCAACCTTGTCCTAAAGATCCCTCGCATCTCATATTTCATCCTGATGCCGCGAAACCCTATTGCCTTCTATTGCTGTGGAAGTAACGAGACCGTGGCACTCGCTCGCTTTCAGCGGAAGAGAAATTCATCTTCTTCTTTTTCTTCTGGTCATATAAAGTAGCGGACAATATTATGCATCGAAACAAAGCCCGGGCTATATGACAGACCATGACGGTTTTAATATCTAATCTAGAAACCAGCAAAGGAGATTATTGTAATATTCTCAAGCTTCAATTGCAACTAGAAAAACGAAATACCAAAAGGGTTGGGCTGTTTGCGAGGTAGCTACGTACCAGCATCAATTCAAAGTACCAAGTCATGGTTTGCTCACACTGAAACAACATGCGCATCCTGTTAGATGCAAGACATAGGTTTAAACTTCTCGAATTTGTGTTAATTTAGTCATAAACCTTTTAATTGTGCCAATTAAGTCCTAAACATTTTGATGTTTTGCCAATTGAATCCATCTGGTCAATTTTAGTCGGAAATTACTGACGTGGAAGCCAATTGCAATAAGTGACACGTCTGGTACTAACGTTGATATTTTTATATAATATTTTAATTATTTTTGAAATTTTTTAATAATTTTTTTGGTTTTCTCTTTTCTTTACTTTTCTTTTGACCGAGTTGACCCTTGTCCAGGCGAGGCTAGCCCTCGCTTGATCGTGGCTGTCGAGGGCTGCCTCGCCCAAGCGAGGCCGTCCCTTGCTTGTGGCCGACGAGGGCAAACGTTACTAGATCAAGCGAGGTCACCCTGCCCAACCCTCTCTGGCCATCGCCTAAGATAGGCCACTGGCAAAAATGAAAGAAAAAACAAAAAGAAGGAAAAAAATAAGAAATTTTTTAAAAAGTTGTCCACATCAACGTTGACATCATATAAGACGATCGACTCTAATTGGACCACCACATTAGCATTTTTCAATCAAAATTGTCGGATGGACTTACTAGCAAAACGTAAAAATGTTAAAAACTCAATTGGCACAGTAAATAGGTTTATGACTAAATTGGCATAACTACAATAATTTGAGGACTTTTTTGGTAATTTTCCCTTTAATTTTGCATACAATAATTCCGCAGTTGAGCATTCTATACTGATGTTAGCTTACATTTATCTTGTTTCATAAAATCAACCCAACAAAGAGAAATAAAAACCACGATCTGCATTTGAAATAGAAACTCACATTCCATTTGATTAAGAAAATGAAAAAAACAATGAGTGAACGTCTGGCTGGCCGAAGAAACATTATTTTAAAATTCTCAAATTACCTTTTGCTTTTTGCATTTTAATATTTTCCATTTGCTATCAAACATTTCGAATACTATATATACAGCCACGCGTTTAAAGGTATGCAATATCCTGACGAATAATCATTCAACTTTGGCTTGATGTGCAGAGTCATCTTTAAAATTTTTAATTTGTTTGATATGATCTCAAAACTTAACCTAATGTCCAATGCCGTCTCTAAACTTTTAATTAGTTTAATATGGTCTCTGAAATTTTGATACATATTCAGTTTAGTTCATTAAGGCCAGAATGAATTTATAAAAAAAAAAAAAAATTTTGCGGGGGACGACATTGCATATCGGATCAAAGTTCAGGGACCATTTGTCTCTACCAACTTTCGAACTCCTGACACCGGGTTCCGAGAAGGAGCTCTCGCAGCCAACAGGGCCGAAGGAAAGTTGGTGACGTTTACCCCTTTCGGAAAAATATTAATTCCAACTTTTTGGTGTCGACGGGCCAGCCCCGCATACAGTTTTACCGGGCCCGATTACCCGAACCCGTGTTGAACGGGCCGCTCCGAATCGACATGACATTTTCTTAAACCCTGCTTGTACCCATCCCTCTCTTCCCGGTTCTCTTCTTCTTCTTCTTCTTCTTCTCTTTGCAGGTGCAGAAGTCTCTCCGCGCGAAATGAACTCCCTCGCCGCGAGATTCGCCAAGCTTCTCCGAGCCTCCGCCTCTCAAGGTCGCGTTTTTATCTTCTTTTCATGCGTAATTTAAGCGACGAGGCCTCATGTCTTGACGCATGCGAGAGCGTGAGCTTGAGGATTGCGGGGCGAGGTTTCGGGAACGTGAAACTGAAATGTTGTTGTTCCGACAGTTGGGTCGTAGCACTTAGTGTTTTTTGTTTGTGTTTTTTTGTGTTTTTAGCGACAGAGAAATCGGTCGATGCGGTTTGCTATTTAGAGTAAGCTGTGAACCGTACTGAATGGTGGGTTTTTTTCTCGGCGGCGTTCCGTCGAGCATCTTATGTGCGGGAGAGCTTTACGGTCATTGTGGTTTTTGTTCGTGCCCGTTTCCGCGTGATTTTTTTGTTGGCGATGATAGCTTGCGTGGAGTAGTGAGCCGACCGGCGTCGATCTTCTCTGTGTTTGCAGAGTCGGGTGTGCGCAGGGCGTCAAGGTGGTGGTACTCGACCGAGGTTTTGGATAGCGAGAAGGATGAGGAGAAGAAGGACGACGATCTGGGCAATGAGGATGATGACATTCTGGGTGACAAGAAGGAGTTGCAGCCGCATGGCGTGGATCCGAGAAGAGGTTGGGGTTTTCGTGGGGTACATAAGGTAAGTAATGTAATGGTCTCTTCCGTGAGGAAATATTTGAACAGAACGATACCTGTAATATGATTGAGCAGGGCAGACATAAATTCTGCAATGGTTTACATTTGCATATGGAACTTATTGAAGTGTTCGAACCGGAGTTTTATATCGTTGAACGGTCATAGTTGGTTCTCCGAGGAGCTAAATTTCTCCGTATCAGTTTGGTTTATATCATCGAACCTTTGTGATTTATGTTCTACTTTACACCTCATGATGTCAAACCAAATATGTGGTCAAAGACTGTATTTTGATGTTCCCCCAAAGATGTCCATTAAGATATCGGGTTTACAATGACAGCCAGAAGCTTGATGAGTTTTATGGGATGTGAGTTAATTTAAGTTGGTGGGTGTACATGCAGGCAATCATATGTGGAAAAGTTGGGCAAGCCCCTGTCCAGAAGATTTTGAGGAATGGTCGTACTGTAACTATATTTACGGTCGGAACAGGGGGCATGTATGACCAAAGGACTGTAGGAGAGAGAGACTTACCAAAACCTGTTCAGTGGCATCGAATTGCTGTGCATAATGGATCTCTTGGAGTCTATGCAGTACAACAACTTGCTAAAAAGTATGTCCACATCTGCTGAAACATAAGCCCCCCCACCTCTCTCTTACCTTCTTATCTCTCTCTCTCTCTCTCTCTCTCTCTCTCTCTCTCTCTCTCTCTCTCTCTCATTCAAGTACATTTCCTGTAGCTCGGCAGTTTATGTTGAGGGTGACATCGAGACTAGGGTATACAATGACAGTATCAATGGCGAAGTTAAGAGTATTCCAGAGATATGTGTCCGGTTTGATGGTATGCTATCTCCTGCGATCTCCTATCTTGCTGGAATTTGTGCTTTATACCATTGTTTAGTATTTATTTTTAGTGAGTACATTGGGAAATTTATAGTTGAATTATAATGTAAAAGATGATTCAAATGAGTAGCTGTTAATTGTACCGCAGAGTTAGGATCACCTTGAAATTGTCGTTCTCTCTCTCTCTCTCTGCATTATTTTTCCACCGTGTGGATACTTACGAGTTCCGACTACTTTGATTCTATTTGCCATAATTCGCTTTATAGTTGCGGTTGTGGAAGATCTTAAGTCATCTTCATGGTGCATGTACACAGCATCTTATAAATGTGCCCGGAATGAATGTTTTGGCTCAAATGAGGACTACGGAGGTCCCTGTTTCTAGTTCTTTATAGCAGTATTTGCATATCTATTTGTATAGCATCAAACCATACCTAGGATGCAATATTTAACAAGAAATTATAACAAGTAGCTCAGAATGGTAAAAACTGTGTGTTGCGGTTAATGGTTCATGAGAGATTTTCACTTGTATAAGTAAGTTATCTGTTCAGCATGTCTCTTAATTTTAGGATAAGTTGACACAATAGGATTCCGAAATCATCATATATTAACAACAAATCCTACTCATGATATTTATTTTTATTGAAAGGTAAGATTGACCAACTCGAACATCAGTTTTAGGTGGAGGCTGATCCGATCTTGTATCTCAGTTCATCTCATATATCAAGAACAACTCATTTCTCAATTTATCTATAAAAGAAGTTCTGTTTCTTTGTGCTGTGCGTAGATCAAATTTTGGCTTGACTTTGGCAGAATCTGGATAGAAGTTGGTGGATATTAGAACCTGAAAAGGATGTTCATACATTTAATGTTGCTGTATTTGAATCTGTTTATGCATTGTAAGGAATGATGAAAAGTGGACAAGAGTCCGTTATTACAGTCGGTATCAAAGCTACATTCTTTATGTTTGTGCTATTGCATGATTGTAAATAGGGAATTTCTATAACTGAGATTTCACAGATGACGTTTGGCTTTTTATTTTGCTGCTCATGTCTTTTCCAAACTTCTGTAGGTAAGATTCGCCTGATAAAAGCAGGAGAAAGTGCCAGCAAAATTTCTTTAGATGATTTTAGTGAGTTATTTCTCATACTGGTTTTGATGACTGTCCTAGATTTTTTATTCTATTTCCTTTTGTTATTAAATTTGAATCTGGGTGCAAGGAGAGAAGAACCTTCTTCCTCCAGTTTGGCAGTTATAGGTTGCTTTTAGTTTCTTTCTTCATATTTCCTTCATAATATTGCAAAAGAATATATACTAATATGCCATCATTGTGCTATTTTTCCTGGCAGGGGAATTATTTTGACCCAATTTGCCCTGCTGTCAAAACCTCATTCTCTGAGACACACAGCAGCCGAATCTTTATAAACCTTGTAAGAAGGATGTCTTGCTGTTAACTGGCCGCAGAAATTTTTCACTGTTTTAATGTTCTATTACAGATCTCTCTCTCTCTCTCTCTCTCTCTCTCTCTCTCTCTCTCTCTCTCTCTCTCTCAATATTAGGTGGGATTACATTCAAGTGCACTGGTGATATTACCAATTTTTTCCTATGTAATTGTTAAATTTATGCGACATCAGAAGCGCCATCAATTTTTTTGGTTTGTGAAACATTTGCCTCACTGTTTCTCTTGATAACTATGTCATGCTTGCAGATCATCGGCTTTACCACCCAATTCAGTCCTGGATGATTTTAGTTTTGGAACTATCTAAATTTGCATAGTTATCTTAAAAAGCCTTAACTTTGGATTTCTATGCAAAGTCTTGCTGTCGGTCTTGCTGTCGGTGAGCTGTATATTCGAGTTTGCTTCTCTTTCTCCATAAGTTAGATGGAGCTCGCTGAACAATGATATAATCTGATATATGGCTAGTAATCTTTTTCTTTTTTGACATCGGCGAGCGGCTTTTTATCTGCTTTGTTTGGCATTAATCTTTGAGGGCCCAATTCCTTAAAAAACCCCCAACTTTAGCCTTTATCCCAATTATATCCCAAACTTTTTTTTGTCTCATAAAAAACCCCAAACTTTTACTTTTGTCCCAAATCTACCCCGTTTACTTTTCATCCAATTTTTTAATATTATTTTTTATTTTTTCGAATTTTTTTCTTTTCTTTTCTTTTCTTTTTCCTTTCCTTTTCTTTTTTTTTTTTATCACCTTCAACCTCTGGCCGGTCGCCGGTCCGGCGACCGGCCAGAGGCGGGGGCCGGCGAGGTCGGCCCCGCCGCGGCCCGCCCGGTGGCGAGTCGGCCTCGTCGTTGCGAGGTTCGGCCTCGGCCGACCTCGCTAGCGGGCTGAGCCGAGCCTCGCCCAGATCCGGCAAGGCTCGGCCCCGCCGGCACTGGCGAGGCTCGGCCCCGCCGGCCGGGCGAGGTCGGCCTCGCCCGGAACTAGCGAGGTCGGCCGAGGCCGAACCTCGCCGGATTCTTTCGGGCAAGGCCGAGCCTCGCCCGGCGGGCCTAGCCGCGCCCGGATCCGGCGAGGCTCGGCCCCGCCGACCGCCGGCGAGGCTCGGCCTCGCCCGGCTAACAACCGAGGCCGACCTCGCCCATTGGCAGAGGCTAGGCCCCACCGGCCCGGATGGCGAGGTTGGCCTCGCCAGGTGCGGCCAGCGGGGGCCGACCTCGCCGGCCGGGCCGGCGAGGCTCGGCCTCGCCCGGCGGCGAGGCCGACCTCGCCACCGCCGACGGGCGGAGCCTCGCCCGGCGGCGGCGGGCCGACCTCGCCCGGCCAGAGGTTGAAGGTGATAAAAAAAAAGAAAAGGAAAGGAAAAAGAAAAGAAAAGAAAAAAATTCGAAAAAATAAAAAATAATATTAAAAAATTAGACGAATAGTAAACGGGGTAGATTTGGGACAAAAGTAAAAGTTTGGGGTTTTTTATGAGACAAAAAAAAGTTTGGGATATAATTGGGACAAAGGCTAAAGTTGGGGGTTTTTTAAGGAATTGGGCCAATCTTTGAGAGAACTTCTACAATGTTTCCTACAGCTTCATAATTCGTGAGGACTCTTAGAAATAGCACATCACATATGTTTTTGTCAGAGTTTACGATAACTCAGAGATAGCATCTAGCTTCACGATTTCATATGCTTTAGACGTGCACTCAGGAAGATTAACCTAGCGATCATGGCAACATCTTAACATTATTGGCCACCTAAAAGCTTTATTTAAAGCTTCTCGTCATCTCTTTTGAACCTTTGTTCTTGCCAGAAATTGTCATAACCTATTAGCTGTTCTTGCCAGAAATTGTCATAACCTATTTGTCTATTGGTCGGGTACTGCTTCAGGAAATGGGAGCCCTCAAAAGGCCACTAACCCCATTAAAAAATTTCTAAACACTGAAAGTGCGACTGGTAGCCGTCCTAGTTTTTGATTTAGTGTCCTGACACGTGTGATCTGTGGGATATCGGTGAACCTGGAAAGAGCACTAATTTCTGGGGTGAATTCTCTTAAAAAAAACTGAAATTTTAAGTCAAGTTTCAAATCTGTTCCGAACTTTTTTTTGTCTAAAAAAAACCCAAAACTTTAGCTTCAGTCCCAAATCTGCCTCGAACTTTTTTTTTGTCTCAAATAAAACCTCAAATTTTAAGTTTAATCCCAAATTTACCTCGAATTTTGTTTTGTGTAAAAAAATCAGCAAATTTCAATTTTTTTTCAAAAATATGCCTCCGTGATCCTGTCCCAACTTGACGTGGCACTTCCATGTCAATAATAAATCCACATTAATAAAGTAATGGGGCAATAGGTATAGACCAACGTTGCATTTTCACTTTGATAACAAATCCAACCCAATAAAAATTGTCGAAATTTTCCAAAGTAAAATCATTCTAGGATATGAAAGTTATGGACGATAACAAATCTACCCCAAAAATCTTTTTTTAATTTAAAAAAAACTTAATTTTTAGGTTCAGTCTAAATTTGTTTAGAACTTTTCTTTGTCTAAAAAAACGCCCCATTACTTTATTGATGTGGATTTGTTATCGACGTGGAAGTGCCATGTCAAGTTGGGATTGAATCACGGGGTATATTTTTAAAAATAAATTTAATTTTGGTGATTTTTTTTACACAAAAAAAAATTTGGGGCAGATTTGGGACTAGACTTAAAGTTTGAGATTTTTTCATAGACAAAAAAAAGTTCGGGGCATATTTGGGACTGGATCTAAAGTTTGGGATTTTTTCTGATAAAAAAAAAATTCGGGGTAAATTTGGGACTTGAGCTAAAGTTGAGGATTTTTTAGGGAATTAGACCCTGATTTCTGGTCATAACCTATTAGTTTATTGGTCGGGTACTGCTTCAGGAAATGGGAGCCCTCAAAAGGCCAATGACCCCATTAAAAAATTTCTAAACACGGAAAGTGGGACTGGTAGCCGTCCTAGTTTTTGGTTTAGTGTCCTGACACGTGTGTGTGATCTGCGGGATATCGGTGAACCTGGAAAGAGCACTAATTAGTGAAAAATAAAATACTCATGGATTATTGTAAGGAGCTTGCTTAGTTTTCTTCCTTGGAGCACTTGTGCACGTCAGCTAGAACGTCACAACCCGTGTCCTTTGATAAAGCAAACCCCATTTCCGTAACCTTATCAGTTTTCTGGATGCAACACACCATAATGTCCGGGCTGTCGGAATACTTTATGCCCCAAGTTGAATAATCTGGAAGTTGATGGTTACGGCACGATGAATACATTCCAATTGAAGGTGGGTTGACCGTGATATTCAGTCGGGGAGAAAAAAATACTACGGATGTGAACGGTTTAAGATGAATTTCTGTATTTTATGTCCTCTCTCTCTGCTTTCTATATCTTTATCTTTTCATTCATGTTAGTTACGGTGGGAATTCTGTTTCTTAATTAGCTCCAACCGATTCATGCCATCGGTGTCCCCAGACCACATAACCGCAATAATAACAGGACAAGTAGAAGGATTAAAGTATTCAGCAGGAGTTTCTATTGGTTAACTGTTAGTACGTATAAACTGTCGACGAACTAATGACATTACAGATTCATGGGTTTAAAAGTAAATGACTGGTTACCCTGCATTATTGGAAAGATACAGCCAAAACGCTGACAGGTGTCTAATCATAGTTCTAGTGATAATTGTACCAGCTAAAGCTGCACTACGGGTGGGATTTTAAACAATCTGCCCTTCCAAAATGTTTTTGGTTGTGCTCCACAATCCCTTGCACTCTCTTTACTAGAGAGATGCTATATATAGAGTGCCTTGGCTCTGAGCTTTCCATGTTCTAAACACTTGTTTTTCACTCACTCCAGCTTCTGATCGAAGATGGAGCTTGTGATATTTCTCTTGCTCATTTCAGCGACCCAAGTGTCATCTCTTGGTGCTTGCCCTAAATGTGGGAGCATGGAGGTTCCATACCCACTTAGCACAGATGGCACCTGTGGGGACCCTAGGTACAAGGTGTACTGTAAGAATGGAGGTCTAGAGTTTCTGTCGGCTGAGGGAGTTTACTATGAGGTCCTCAGCATTGACCCTAGTGCTTACAAGCTTGTCATAAGTCCACCCATGATACAGAATAATACATGTTTTTCGTCTGACCTTAGTGTAGGAGGCTTGAGTCTGGATGAGAACTTGCCATTTAACATATCCACTCACAACACTGTGATTCTGCTGAATTGCTCCAGCAACATCCTTCTTTCGCCACTGAATTGTTCTTCAAGCAGCTTTTGTCGGGCTTATGAGGACAAGGTGTTGGAGGGAACAGGGTGTAGAAACACTCTGTGCTGTCATTACTTGAAAGATTCAGCCATGACCTCACATAGAATTAGGATTAGGGTTGGAGGGTGCACTGCATACACTTGCGCGGTGAATATTAAGCCTGACGATCCAGTCGATTCATGGAATTATGGTATTGAGCTGCAATGGGTCCGTCCAAGTTGAGGTTTTCTATCAAGGTGCAGACCAAATGCAGTATTGTGCAATTGTTTAAAGGGAGGGGTTAAAAGTCCGTGTAATACGGTGTCCTGTCTCCTCCGAAGCATGTCAAATTGTAAAATGAAAGATTGTCGCATGTTCTGTCGTGTCTAGTTATTGGTCGTGTTCCGTATCTTCTATAAATGTCCATGCTTAGTTAGGTCCTATGTATGACCTTCTAATTGAGTAAGTGGAGCTGGAGATGGTTGACGATGCTCAGTCTAATGATCTTTTCTTGGTATTCTCTGCATAAATCTCAATTTGGCTTTGTTTGCTGTTGCCATGCATGCTTCATGGTTAGACTTGAATCTTCTTATCTCTCTCTCTCTCTCTCTCTCTCTCTCTCTCAAATGGCTTTGATACATGCCACACTGCACATTAGAGCTGTATTTAGGCTTGCTTGGTAACTCGAGCGTGCAGAAATACGTTTCTTTACGACCAAAAGCCGATATCCGTGTGCAAGAGAGGGGGATCTTTTAGATGGCAAGGAAATGCGGTCACGGTGTACCTTAGATAGTGTTCAGCTAACGACAGTTCTTTTGCGCCCCCAGCCAATATAAATAGATAACACCACTGGAAGTTTCCAATAATCTTGATGAAGGAGATTTATATAGAAAAACATAAAGAATTGACATGACAAGAACATAGTAAGTTTTAAATTTTACTCATCACTTCTAAAGTTCGAAACTCGTTTTGAAAACTTATATTAACCTACAAGCGGTATCACAATTCACACTAGCCATTGTGTTAAAAATTAAGGTTAATACCATTAAAAATTCCAAACCGGTGCCCTCATAATATATTCATCCTTAAATTAATTTTCGTCTCACAAAAAAACATAAACCGGTATCCCCGATCCAAATCTACCATCCGTTAGCATTTCGTTTAATATTATGTTAAAATGCATATGTGCTAATACATGTGGAGAAGACGACCACAAGACGAATTAGACAGGGAGAATGACAAATCCGACATAGAGAATGACATGCATTTTAATGGGATATATTTAAAATGCTAACTAAGGGTAGATTTGGATTATGAATACCGGTTTGGAATTTTTTGTGAGACGAAAATTGTTAAAAAATATAGTGTCATGGAATACCGGTTTGGGATTTTTGATGAATTATCCCTAAAAACTAATGGTAACCCAACTCACGCTGAACAACGTGATTTGACGCCAGTATCATCCAACCTCATATAAAATTTGTACTAGATCAATGTCAACACATGAGAAACACGAGACAAGCTATCTATTGTGTTCAACCACTATGGTTCAAGGTTCAATTTGAGCTGAGAGAGAAGAATCTTATGACCAAATACTCTTTTAGCTGGATTCCCTGTGTACTTGAAAGCGAAATGTGGCTCGAGTAACTTTGTTCTTACTAGGTCGTTCTTTCATTCTCTTCGGACTTTTCTTCCTAGTGGAAAGGCAACAATTAGTAAGGCTGTCAAACTGAGTCAAAAGGGACATGCTTTCACCATCTTTACATGAATTCCAGAAAGGAAGCGAAAACAAGAAAGAGAAAAGGCATAGTGTAGGAACATCTGCCGAAACAAATGGGTGCCACATTATGAACAGTCGGTCACTATGCTAAAAAAAACCTAACTGCAAATGAGCAAGTTCAAGTGACAACAGTATCAAAGAAAAGGTGAAAAATTGGTAACATTCATAGTGCCACTTAAGTAAGATAAAGTAACATAAAGATCCGGATTGCCAGAAACCATAAAAGAGAAACAAGGAGCAGAAACACGGTAAACTAATGAAAGCAAGATTTTGTAATATAACAAGAAAACCCAATCAAAAGTCCTACCATTCAAGCTTCACTTCTTTACACACGAACTCGAGATGTTAGCAAGCAAACTCTCACGACCATACTTAACAAATTCGATGCATCTTCTTAGTTAGTCAGTCCAGCAGCTAAGCACAAACTGAAAATCAAACATGGACACTTGCAATCTCAGAAAACACCTGCTCCTCTATCTCAACTCTCACACGTTTACGATAATCACCACCAAAACAGGAAAACCAGGAGCTGCTCACACTGCCAGCGAAAAAAAATCATATGACTATTTACTATACCAGATAATTTGCTATGAGGCCACCAAAGATCTGCTTGGCTTTTTTCCTTCCATGGCATCTTTCTTTTTCCAACAAATTGTGCAGAGGAATGGCCCTTCACATGACTTTGATGCGGGGGAGAAAAAGGGTCGAGAATTTGCCGTCAAGTTGTCAGCAGGTGGCTGATCAGCTTGGCAAACCGCACATTTAAAAGTCCCGGGGTATTGGTTTGAAGGAAAATCCCTACCTAGCCTGCAGTAAAAATTACAGAACATTTACAGACGAATAGAGAATACCCATCCTTAAACTTCCCCCAGCTAGGCACCTATCTAACTTCACCAAACATTTTATTTTTCAGGACCTATTATGCACACCGGGAACCTCTTAATTGGCATGAACATCTTGGCAATCCATGACTTTGAACAGAATAAAATGTAGTCAAAACGACATCCTTTCACTACTACTTCATAATTATGTAGTGTAAATCACCAATATGTGCACTATTATCTTTACATGACACAGACCCTAGCGCAGATCATTAGAAAGCAGTCCGATATAGTGATTTGAAATAGCTATTGATGTTTCTTTCCAGATTTTGCCTATTCATTTTCCAATTAGTGATTTGACAGACAATGAAATGACCCTGATAACAAGACATTGCTAAAGTAATATTTCTCGTCACATGTTTGAAAGATTTCGGGGCAAGGGTAGCTTCATGAGTTGACATATTTGCCATATTCATCCTCAAAAACAGCATATTGATTTTCCAAAGGAAAACTTCACCTTTGTAAGGAAAAATAAGTACATCAAATATATGTTAAAAGGATTACCTCTCTGCCAGCATTGCAGAACCCTCTTCAAACAACTCCACCACAGCCTCAACAGCAGAAAGCCTACTGGTAGCTTTATTCGCACTCTGGGACTTCTTCCCTGACAAAATTGAACTGAGAAAACTTTGCTTCTTTTTTGGTGTTGGAGGTATTACGGGGATGTTGGATGGGATAATATCAACAACCAGGCAGGTTGTATCATCTTTCAGGCCTCTTGACTGAAGTGCCTCCTGAACAGTAGAACAAGCAATCAGATAACAACGTGGAGAAAAGTCATAAACATTCCATATATTTTAAAGATCACATAGGGAATAACCTTACCAACTAACTTTGCAGCTAGTTCTGCTGGTAAACCTCGACAAGACTTGGCAGCAACATCAGAAGATAATCCCAGATACCATCAGAAGCAATTATGAGTCTTCCCCAAGCATTTGAGAGCTATGTAACCAGAAACGGGGTTTTTCAACTTCATCATGCTTAAAATTTCATAAAGGACAAGCCAATTCGACCAGATCATCTCGCCTTTACTTGCTTAACATGTGGTACTGGCACAATAAATTCGCCTGCATCTGGGTCACCTATCGACCTTGAAAGGCAAAATCCACCAGGCCAACAACAGAGGAGGCCAACCTGCGAACCACGATAGAGCAGGTAAGGACAGGGATTCCCTTTTGTTTGGGTTTGATGGATCAAAGCAAACAATCTTGAACCTCATTTCCACGAAACACATTCAGTCTTCCCACTTCACCTCCACTTGCAGTGACTCATTCCCTATCTTCTGCATTCTCTTTAAGCCAATGATCAACAGTCGAGAGAGAAACCACACCTCCATGTGCCCAATATGCATCTAGATTCTCCCACCGATGCAACAGTAATTGTCCACCCATCAATCACCACGAATGTTACCGTTGTCCCAGAAGTTTCACCTGTCACACAATGAAAGTACTAAGGTAAGAACAAATGGATAGCCTTTCAATAAAAAGGACAAGATGGTAATAACATGCCTCTCTGCTGAAATTCTATGTCAGTCTTGACAAAACCTGCAACAAGGGCCCGCAGAAGTGCTTGAAGCCAGTCATCTGGACCAACCCCTCGAGGGATAGCACTCAAAACATTAGCCAATAGGTTCTCCTTTGCAAAGATAGCAGCCAATATGCCATTATGTACGTCAAATATCTGCGCTGTGAAATAATACTAATTTGGTGCAGGTGCCGCGAAATAGAAAAATGCAGAATGGAGGTATGCTATCCTTGAGACTATTGCACAAAGATAAGGAATGAACAAAGAACAGAGAATAGGAGACTTTCAGTCCTGGAAACTGTTTAATGTGACACGTACACTCAACTAAGCCATATAAACAAACCAGAGTTTAGTCGCATAACTATTTAACATTTTCAATTCCGGAGATTGTTGCACTGTGCTATAGAAAAGTTCCTGTTTTTCCTTAAGATAAGTATACAGAAGCTACGAAAGGAATACGAAACGGTTAACTGATACAGATACAAATCCCTTAATGAAATTTATCACGAAGAGTACCGCAAACACAGAAGATGAGGTTGACGGGTCCCCAGCAATCCTCTCACAATTAGGTTTCGTCAGAAAGTAGTCCTCCCCTTTTTTCGCCAAAGCGGCCTGTCCATACTTCACTAGAAGTCCAAACTCACCTGCCGTACTTGATGTCCTTGAGTTCGGGCTCACCTGTAGCTTGCCATACTTGTTCATTTCATTCTTCTTGAAGTCTAGAAATCAAAAAAACAAAAGAACACGCATGTTAAGTTTTGTACCCAACATTAACTTGCTATGAAGAGAGAGTCAGATTATATAGGATTTCATCGCCAACCTCTAATAATTTTCTGTGATGGGCTTAGGCTGATGTTCTGCTGTTTGTCCTGATCCACTTTGGTCGTCTATCTTCTAAAGACGTAAGCCAAGTGGATTATGCAATAATCAGGTAGACGATCACAACATTGCGAACATTCAAGTACGAGTTGTCAAATTTCAAACCATGAGAGAGACCAGCATGAAGAAAAACAAATATGTTAAGGAACTTGTTTCGGTGAAGCGAAGTTGTAAGCTTAGGAATTTTCTTTCCTCGGCTGTGAATATGAAGTGTCATCTAAAGGCCGTTGCCCTCCTTCAGGCTCTCCAACATCAACCAAATAAGCAATGAACATCAGTGTCTCACCGGAACAAATAACTTGTATCATATTTCAAAATCCCGTTTTCCAACAGCTGTTCGCTGCCATCATACAGCATTACCTGTCATATATCCGACCATCAATGACGGCATGGACTAATCTACTTGGAACTAGCTCAAACACGGAGAGCATTACAACCAAAAGGCACAGAACAGAACAATCCGCGATGACAGACGAAATGAAATCCTAAGCAGCATCGAGCTGTTG